GGGTTGGTCCCAGTCAATTTACTGTAACCATACTCTCTATAATATGGACAAGTATCTAAGATGGACACCTAGGGTTGGTCCCAGTCAATTTACTGTAACCATATTCTCTATAATATGGACAACTATCTAAGATGGACACCTAGGGTTGGTCCCAGCCAATTTACTGTAACCTTAGTCATCTTACTTCAACCATACTCTCAATAATTCGGACACCTAGGGTTAGTCCTAGTCATTTTACTGTAACCATACTCTCTATAATATGGACACCTATCTTAGATGGACACCTAGGGTTGGTCCCAGTCAATTTACTGTAAGCATACTCTCTACAATACGGACATCTCTCTAAGATGGACACCTAGGGTTGGTCCCAGTCAATTTACTTTAACCTTAGTCATCTTACTGTAACCATACTGTCAATAATACGGACATCACTCTAAGACGGACACCTAGGGTTAGTCCCAGTCATTTTACTGTAACCATACTCTCTATAATACAGACACCTCTCTAAGACGGACACCTAGCGTTGGTGCCAGTCAATTTACTGTAACCATACTCCCTATAATATGGACACCTATCTTAGATGGATAAGCATACTCTCTACAATACGGACATCTCTCTAAAATGGACACCTAGGGTTGGTCCCAGTCAATTTACTGTAACCTTAGTCATCTTACTGTAACCATACTCTCAATAATACTGACATCTCTCTAAGACGGACACCTAGGGTTAGTCCCAGTCATTTTACTGTAACCATACTCTCTATAATATGGACACCTTTCTAAGATGAACGCCTAGGGTTGGTTCCAGTCATTTTACTGGAACCATACTCTCTATAATATGGACACCTCTCTAAGATTGACACCTAGGGTTGGTCCCAGTCATTTTACTGTAACCATACCCTCTATAATTCGGACACCTCTCTAAGATGGACACCTAGGGCTGGTCCCAGTCGTTTTACTGTAACCGTACTCTCTATAGTATGGACACCTCTCTAAGACAGAAACCTAGGGTTAGTCCCAGTCATTTTACTGTGACCATACTGTCTATAATACGGACACCTCTCT